AGTTTGTGGCATGCGGGCTCTCTAGTTGAAGTGCGTGAGCTCAGTAGCTGTGTTGTGCGGGCTTGGTCACCCCACGGCACGTGGGATCTTAGTTCCCTGACCAGGGATCGAACCCGCCTCCCTTGCATTGGAAGGCAGATTCTGGACCACCAGGGAAGTCCCCTTCTCATTGTTTTTCATACCTAAAAAGCATAGGGTTCTATTGTAGGGACATACTATCATTTATTTACGTAATTACTCTTCTTAAATGATAGACATGTTTCCAGTCTTTTACTATTACAAGCACGGCTGTCATAAATAAGTCTGTATACGTATCATTTCCCATGTGTGAGTATATCTTTGGAAGATATTTCTGGAAATGGATTTCTGGAAGTAGAGCTGCTGGGCCACAACACACATATATTTGTGATTTGGCTGGATTTGGCAACGTTGCCCTCCATGGAGGTTGTACTAATTTACACTCACCTGCCATGTATGAGCGCGCCTGTGTCCACACCTTTCTCAACACACTGTTATCAAGCTCTTTGTTCCTTACTAATCTTAAAAGTGAGAAATATCTCAAATTGGTTCTAATTTGCATTTCAATTACTATTAGATTTAGCATAAACGTTAAGAATCTTTTATACTTTTTTCTATGAACTTTCTGTTGTCATTTCTGTTCATATCATATCCTATTTCTTCCTACTATTTATGTTAAAAGTTTCCAAAAATCAGTATTGTAGGGCTTCCCTGGTGGCGCAGTGGTTGAGAGTCCGCCTGCCAATGCAGGGGAGGCGGGTTCATGCCCCGGTCCGGGAAGATCCCACGTGCTGCGGAGTGGCTGGGCCCGTGAGCCATGGCCGCTGGGCCTGCGCGTCCGGAGCCTGTGCTCCGCAACGGGAGAGGCCCCAACAGTGAGAGGCCTGCGTACCACCAAAAAAAAAAAAAACAAAACCAGTATTGTAGAAGTAAGCTTTTTGTAAAATGAATTACAAACATTTCCCTTTTTTTTAAACAGAGGAGTATTTATTTATTTATTTTGGGCTGTGTTGGGTCTTTGTTTCTGTGCGAGGGCTTTCTCTAGTTGTGGCGAGCGGGGGCCACTCACTGTCGCGGCCTCTCCCGTTGCGGAGCACAGGCTCAGTAGTTGTGGCGCACGGGCTCAGCTGCTCTGCGGCATGTGGGATCCTCCTAGATCAGGGCTCGAACCCGTGTCCCCTGCATCAGCAGGCAGATTCTCAACCACTGCGCCACCAGGGAAGCCCCTCCCTGTTTCTTTTTTCTGTTTCTTTTTCTTTTTTTAAAGTTGGAAGATATTTAAATTTATTTTTACTTTCTCACATCACTAATCATGGGTATGAGTGGCTTGTATCTCCATCCGGAAAGCATAGCACTATCAAGTTACTATTATATCCAGTGGAGAACTCAGTCTTTGGCCACATCCCTGTTTCTTTTATTGTGGTTGGTATCTAGAATATGTTTATTTTATAATTGAGTTCATTATTGTTTTTTCATATGGTTTCCCTGTTTTGTATACTACTTAGACTTTGTCAAAGATAAAATATTCTCCTAGCCATCTTATCACCAGGCATGATCTCCGTATTAAAAAAAAGACTGAAATATTTCAACATTTAGAAAAGTATAGTGATATATTTTTTAAAAACTGATATACCCATCACCAGAATTACTGTTAATATTTTGCTGTGTCTGCTTTAGATTTTTTGCCTTTGAAACCAAAAGGTACAGATAGTTCCCTTTGAACGTCTCCCCAATACCAGTGCCTCCCCTGCCCCTGAGGTAACTGCCTTCGTGAAGTTGGAGTGTGTGTCCTCCTGGTCATGGTCAAGGGCCTTTATTTTGAGACCGGAGAACCCCCTCTGGCTAGTTGAAGTGGAAGGGATTTATCAGTGGAAGGGCTAAAGAAACAGACTCGTGACTTGAGTTTCCTGGAAAGTCTCCCTAAACCACACTTGAGGGCTGGGACGCCCAGGCAGCTGCTGCAGCCCCAGAGGCTCACTGCTTCTACTGCATTCAGAGCTGCTGGTGGAGAGAAAGTTCAAAACCCGATGCCTGTACGTGTGCTGTCCGCTGTTGACGCATTTCTAAATCAGAGCCTTGCATCTGACCGGGAAACCTAAATTAGATACAGAAACCTGGTGCAAGGGAGTGTGGAGGGAAATCTCGTGGTTTTCTAGTTTGTGTGTACACCAGGGGCTTAGTGTCGCACAAGCCAGTTCACAGTATTTGTAAACTCCTTGAACATTTTAATGCTCCTACTATTAATTTTTCCATGAACAATAGTGTATTGTTTTGGGTATTCAAAAAATGGATGCAAATGCTGTCATAATGCAACTTAGCCTTTTCATTCAATATTATTATTAAGCCTTTCCCAGTTGACATCTGTAGCTCTGCTTCATTCTTTTTAACTGCTGTGTATCGTATGTGTATTAGTTGTTACCCTGTAACAAATTACCGTAGTTTACTGGCATAAAATTAGCTGTTTACCCTCTCACGGTTTCTGTGGGTAGGAACCCAGGTGTGGCGGAGTTGGGTCCTCTGGCTCAGGGTCTCTCATAAGGTTGTGGTCAGTGTGTCTGCTGGAGCTGTGGCCTCATCTGAAGACCTCGCTGTGGCAGAATCTGCTTCTAACACACTCCTGTGGTTGCTGGCGTATGACTCCGTTCCATGGTGGCTGTGGGCTGGAGGCCGCCCTTGCTTCCTTGCCATGTATTAGGCCTCTCCGTGGGGCAGCTCGCAGCACAGCAGCTTGCTTCATCAGAGCAAGCAGCTAAGAACAGGAGTGTGTGCACAAGATGGCTATCACCATCTGTAATGGGCTGGATAGTGTCCCCCAAAATTCAGACATCCTGGAACCTCAGAATGTGACCCAGTTCTTGCTGTTATTTTTTCCCCCACCCAGTATATACCTGCCTAGTTTTGTCTGGATGTTTACCAGTGTCTGTTTACCACTGCTTTCTATACCCTACTTCTTCTTTCTGAACTCATGTTAAAGAAGTATATCTTCCAGCAGTTTTCTCCACAGTGTATCACTCCTTTGTCTTTTGGTTGTTGCACATGAGAAGTCTGATGGCAGTCTAAACACTAGTTCCTTTGTAAGCCATCTGTCCTCTCTCACAGCTTTTACTCTTGGAGCTCAATGCTCTGCAGTTTGTGTTGTTTATTCCTCCTACTTGGGATTTGATGTGCCCTGTAAATACACGGACTTGCATCTGTCAAGTCCTGAGGGACTCTCAGGCTTTCTCTGGATAGTGCTTCTCCCCATTTCTTCTCCCCTCTGGATCACCTAGTTTCGACACATTTTGAAGCATTTCATTCTACCCTCCATATTTTAACTTTGCTTTCACATTTTCCATTTTTAATCTCTGTGCTGCATGCTGAGTCATTTCCTTAAGTCTTCCAATTTACTAATTCTCTCTGTAGTTATGTCTGGTTTCCTGTTAAACCTGTACAGAAGTTTTCCTTTTTTTTAAAAAAAAAAAACACATTTATTTATTTATTCATTTGGCTGTGCTGGTCTTAGGTGCGGCATGAGGGATCTTTTAGTTGTGGCATGCGGGATCTTTAGTTGTGGCATGTGGCTCTTAGTTGCGATGTGCATGGGGGATCTAGCTCCCTGATCAGGGATGGAACCTGGGCCCCCTGCATTGGGAGAGTGGAGTCTTAGCCACTGGACCACCAGGGAAGTCCCTCCATTTGTTTTGATGACTGTATCCTTCATACCTAGAATGTCTCTTCAGTTCTTTTTCAAATCTTTTTTTCTTTCAAAACTACTTTGGTTTACCTTATGGTTTCTATTGCTTCTTGTACCTCTTCAAACATGTTAAGATACGTGAAGTCTCCTTCTGATTTTTCTGTCTCTACCTCATGATGGTTGAGTTCCTTGTGGGATCATTTCCTTTTCTTTCCTGGCACCTAGAGGAGCGGAGAGGGCTTTCTTCCCACATCAGTCCACAGTTACCAACTTAGGTCACATGTCTCCACACAGGAAAAAGGGGCCTTTGTTTCTTTAGACAAAGGGACCCATCCCTGAGAGCCCCTCCAGGGTGCATGATCTCTCTGAATGGGTACCAACTGGTGAATTAATTAAGGTATCTGAGAGTTTGTCAACATATTCACCTGGCCCCTTGTGACCCTGAAAAAGTCATTTAACCATTCATCTTTTCTGTAAAATAAAGGTATCTTCTTTATTTACAGGGAGAAAAAAAAAAGTATTTTTAGTAGTATAAAACTTCACAGAAAAGGTGGCACATGTTGTCTTAAAAACAAATAGTTTAATTTCACTTTTATCTGGAACAAAACAAGTTTAAAAGGAAACAGCGAGCGCTTTGACATGTCATCATGTGTCATTTTTTATGGTACTACTTTTGTTCAAAATGTGAAGATACAGAACCTTTATAAATTTCAGGAAGCAAAATGCAGATGAAAACAGATTGGTTATAAAATGTCAATTCACTAAATACTGCATTTTCTCTGTTTTTATGGAGAATATTTCATAGAAACACTGTATAAAATAAGGCAGACTTTTGGAAATTCAATTATAAAATTTTAGGGAAAAAGTGTGAAGTCCTAGTTTCTTTCACTTTGGGGAGTCACCTGCAGAGCCCGTCAGACAACTAGAGCAGTTTCTGAGCTCTGGTTGCTGTACAGGAGCCCTTCTCGTTGAGTGCTTCTAGAATCAGACCCACCCACAAAACAGCTTTTCCCAATTAGCATCAATCAGGAAAGTTTAACATACACAAATATTTCTATAGTGCAGTAAAAATGTGTCATTTTATATTTTAAATTTGCATTATGAAAATAAGTGTACACAAAGTAATACATATTTAATGAATATGAATCATGTAAATTTGGTTATGGCATTTAAAGTTGCCTTTGGCTTTGAAGTATTTTTAAATTCATAGAAAATATTGAACTTCTAATAAAATAAATAAAACATTTTAATAATTGACATTAATAATCAACTTCAAAATTTCTTTGCATTTTCTGTTCAATTTTAAAAGAGAAGTCATTGCACCTTCTGTGATGTGAAAAAAGATCCGATTGCCATTAGCTGTTCTTACATAACAGAGAAACTGCAACAAGACACTCTCTGTCACTGGCAGGAAATCCATCACCGTCCTTCGCGGGGCCAGTCCCGAGCTCATGTTTTAACGGACGCGAAGGCAAACCACGGTTCTCACGTGACTCTCTGAAGCGCCCCCGCAGCAGGCCCAGGTGCCTTGAGTGGACTAAGTCTCACTTTATGGCAGTGGCATCAGACGGCGGCTCCAGAAGGTTGCCGACGTCCCTGTGTGCTCTTACAGGCTCTGCAGACCGGGGGACGAAAGGACCAAGGAAATCTGACAGCCCTCAGGAATCCCAAGTGACTGGAGGGACACAGCGTCAGGGCCCCAGGCAGTGCTGCCCACTATTCAGGAGGTGGGCGGAGGCTCCGCAGCTTCATTTCGTCCAGTCCCTTCCAGTATTTAAAATTGTTGTCAAGATGCTGCATTAGCTCAGGCAGGTCTACAAAGGCTAGAGAAAAAAGATGGCACTGTGATACCCTTTCACAGCCTCAGTAAATTTAGACTTGGAGGCTTTCTAAGGAGAGAGCATTTTACGGAAGAGGGGCAGACAGGAGTAGACAACTGCACAGTGCTCAGCAGACACAGCAAACCCAGCGGCCGGAATGAACTAAAGCCAAGTCCCGTGCTCAGTGCGAGCAGCTCCTCTGTAACCACCTGGTGAGCTGACAACTGGTAGGTGAAGCAGAAGGGGAGCTCATCTGCATACTCACCATTTTATCAGCACCTTTGGGGCCCAGGGTGCCAGGAGCCAGGCCCTAGGCCCTGACTGGCTCTCCTGGGTGTGTCTCCCTGCTCCTCCCCCCCCACCCTAATTTATACCACCATCTTCCACCTGCAGCACATGCCCTAGGGCATGAGTGGGGAGCAAGTCATTTTACATACGAAGAAAATGGGGCCAGGAGAGGCCATGAATCTGGACTCAAGGAGCTGCGGAGCCTGCAGTCTGGCCCCAAAGCTGCAGCTCTTTCCACCGTCTGAGTCGTCCTTCCCCCCACCTCCCAGCACCCTGAGATGGGGGTTTGTCTCCTGCCCATGGATCTGGACAGGGAGTATTAGTGGGGCCCCTTCCCTGAGAGTCCTTTACGTGACAGGCTCCTGCAGGCACCTGAGGTTAAAGAAGAGGGACGTGTACCCGTCAGAGACCAGCCTGCTCTCGGGTCGGCTACCACGTGAGGCGGGAGAAGCTGGGGGAGCAGATGGCAAAAGGGCTCCCACAGAACGACGTGGGGTTTGGAGTCAACATAAGTGTTTCTGAATCCTGGGCTCTCCACCACCGGCTGTGCAGCCCCAAGTTCAATCCTCTCATCTATGAAACCGGCACAACAACGTCTAGCCCCTGGGGCCAGGGGCAGCTGAGGAGGAAGAGTACAGACAGCACCCCGCCCTCACGGCCCTCGGTGTCAGCTCACTGCTTCTCCTCAGCCCTTCTTCAAAGTCTGAGCCCCCAAACATATCCTACAGTCAAAAACTACACTATGCACTACTTAATATGCAGTTCCCCGTTCCTGAGGGAAATATGCCCAAAGCGTTCTTACCGTCCCAAGCAGCAAACATGTCTGTGATGAAGTAGTCGATGAAAGAGATTTGGGATTTGGGGATGCTGCAGGTATTTCTGTCAAAAACTGGCATCACCACAGGCAAGTCCTGTCGCTTCTCTTCATCAGTCTGCAAAGCAGAAAACGCCAGAATTACGAGACTCCAGTATCTGGCTCCACTCCCCGTCAGCAGCAACCCCTCTGCCAAAAGCCTCTCCTGGCAGCCCAGAGTGCTCGTGGGGAGAAGCCGATCACAGCACCAGCCAACAACCCGGATCTGCCACTACATACCACGTCGTCCCCGATGGGGGCTGCTCTATGCCGGGGCACCAAGGACACCCCAACCCAACCCACATTTTCAACACCTGGAAACCTCTTGCTGAAGCTCCTGAGGTACGATTGCAAACGGTACCTGCGGTGCGTGAGCACACTAGTCAGCTCAGCCATCCTCCCACCCAGCAGGCGTTTCAAGGGCCTGACCCAGGGCGGCAATGGTGAGTGAGAAACAGCCCCCTTCACGGAGAAGGGACAAGTGGCTGCTGCTCATCTTGGGCCAAATTATTTCATTTGAAAAAGTTATGAACACGCTTGAGGTAAAAAAAGAGCTCTGGGATGAGTTTTTTATGTACTTTGATTGATAGACGCTTCCAGAACATCTTCAGGATTCCAGAAAGATTTGTAAAAAACTGAAAATATAATTAAGATCCTGGGGGGAAAGGCAAGTATATCTTGAAAGATATAAAGGAGTTTCTTGTTCTTTTTATTCATAAGGTTGCTTTCATCAAAGGGTCCTGGAGAAAAGGATGAGGGGATGCCTGGAGGGTGACGATGAAGCAGGAGGTCTTCCTGGAACGAGGCGGGAATGAGGTGCGATTAGAATCACCGAGAGGTCCCTGCTGGAGCAGGCAACCAGGGCTGAGAGTTAAGCAGACGGTCACACGAGGGGCAGGATGAGGGGGACTGAGTGTAGGACAAGTAAGGCCGGGGCGGGCCTGGCTAGAAGGGCTGGAGCCATCCTCTGGCTCTGGAAGGCACAGCTGTCCTCAGGGGCACCTGGATCATTGTTCCTGATGGTCCGGGCAGGCTGCCCTGTTGGGCCAGGCATAGTGAGAAGATGACAGAGGGGTGGCGATCCTGGGACGAGATAAATTGTTGACCAGTCGGGGCCTGTGGAGAGCCGGTCAGTGAGAGCAAGGGCTGAGGACAGGAGGTACGTGGTGTGCTTGGCCATCTGCCAGAAGCCTGACTCTGGTGGCTGAACTCTGTGGGCCATCTGGGGCTGTGGGAGAGTGGAGGACATTTCTTGAGCAGCCAGCACTGGGACAAGAATTCAGGTTCAGCGGGACCAAAAGAAAACCTACTCTTGGGGCTGGGAGCCTGTCCGTCCAACTCTTACCCCTGGAACTGTTCTCACAGGGCAAACTGGGCCAGTCCCCCTTGTTGATCTTGACAACTGACCAGGAGCTGCCTCCCCTGTTCCGTTCCACTTCTGTTCTGCTGTCTCGGCTGAGGCCTGGCAATCACCAGCAGGGCCGCAGGGACTGGTTAGAAGTCACCTTGCCCTGCACAAAGGTGGATCCGAGGCCCGGGCGACTGGAAGAACTAGGCCTCACAGCTAATGGCAGGTGACTTTCCCTGGAAGTGACAATGACTCACTACAGCTCTCAACATGGAATCTCCACTTGGGGGCAGCAGGTAACCTTTGGGGGTTTTCCTAGGAGGGACTGTACCTAGCAGTGTGCTGCAGAGATGTACTTACGCTAGGTGGGTGTTGAGGGTGCCGGGGACAGGGCTAAGAAAGAGGCCTGTGCTCCCTGTGTTCAGGTGGATGGTGCTAGACTATGGGTCAGGGCAGAAGCCAGCAGTAAGAGCCCCTGCCGCTCCAGGCCAGGGAGCCAAGTCGCACACGCTTGACTAGGATTGTACGGGCCAGGGAGCCCTGAGAGGCAGGGCAGAGACTATCTACACCAGTTGTCCGGCCAGGAGCACACTCCAGGAGGTGTGGAAGGTAGGGTGAGGGTGCTCTGGGAAGAGACTAAGCAGGGAATACTGACAAGTCTTGGCCTCTGCTGGCTGGTGAAGCCTCTGCTGTTAGGCCACAGGCTGGCAGCCCCGTCCCCCAGTGCTGTCGCAGAAAGTTGCAGGGTTAGCTCTACGTGAGTCTCTGCCCTGGTGTGTATGGGAAGGGGTGGAGGGTGCAGGAACAGCCTCAGGTTCACAGCCCACTGGCCTGTCTGGCTCAGAGAGCAGTACCACAGGGTGGGTGCTCTCCTGGCTCCCCCCCCCCCGCCCCGGTCGTGCTGGATAATGAACCAGCTCTCTTGGGAAAGCCATAGCAGAGGCTCACTGAGCTCAGCAGTTCATGGCTCCAGAGGCTTTTCTGTCAGTGCTGCACTCTAGGCCTTCCCTCCCCTCCACATGGAAGCAGCTGCCTTGTTGAAGGGCAATGAAAACGCTCATGCTTGTATTTCTTCTCTTTGGCCCAATGTGACAGGTACATGGAGCTTCTCAGGCCCTTATTTGCTTTTGAAGACCACTGTTTGCCAATGAAGTCCTCCGTGCCCATGCCCCACTCCTAGGCCACCAATGAGATCTCCATGCCTGGGAGACAGTCAAAGATTCTACAGTAACCAAGTGAACCTCCAATTAAGAAAAAGTCATTCAAAATGGTAGGAAGTGTCATGGTATTTTTACTCACCCTTGCCCCACTCCTCCCTAGCACAGTCTTGGTCCGGATGAGACAGCAGCCCAGCTCTCAACTGTTTAAATCGAACTGGAAGGAGTGTAGAGCTGACCTCATTTGCAACATTCCAACCTGTCTGGAGTTTGTCTAAAGGACTAGCCTCTATTTCACCTAATCCAGCTCTCAGGTGGAAAAGCAATGGTTACTGCCTAGGAAAGCTGCATGGAGATGACAGACACACAGATGCCTGGGGTAAGAGATTACAGGTGGAGACAAACAAATGCACCATTTAAGGCCCCAAGGAAAAGCCTCTTGGGGAAATTAAGATATTCAAAAGCAGCTGTATATAGAGGGGAAATGTCTCGGGCAAGACATGCTCAGAAAAGACCTGAAGAGACCGTAAGCTTTCACACTGGGCTAACCCCAAGACTCAGAGCATGCCCAGATAATTAGCGAAAGACTTTCCTGGCACAGAGCCAAAGTGCAAAGACTGGGAGAGGTGGCCGTTTTTTCAAATGTCCAATTTTCAACAACAAAAGAAATCACAAGCCCAAAGAAACAGAAAAACATAACCCATTCAAAAGAAGAAATTAAATTGGCAGAAACCATCCCTAAAGAGGTACCCGCAATGATTTATTAAAGACTTCAAAACAACTATCTTAAATATGCACTAGTGCTAAAAGAAAACGTGGATTAAATGCTAAAGGAAATCAGGAAAATGATATATGAACAAAATGAGAGTATCAATAAAGAGACAGAAATTATAAAGAAGAGCCGAATAACAATTCTGGAGCTGAAAAACACAAAAAGTGAATTGAAAAATTCACTAGAGGGGTTCAACAGCAGATCTGAGCAGGCAGAAGAAAGAACCAATAAAAATTTGAAGATAGGACATTTGAAATTATCAAGTCAAGAGGAGAAAGAAAAAGAAATAAAAGTGACAAGACCCTAAGTAATTTACAGGACAACCTCAGACAAATACATGCATTATCAGAGTGTGGGAAAGAGAAAAGAAAAAAAAAAAAAAAAAGGAGCAGAGATTATTTGAAGAAATAATAGCCCACTGGGCATATACCCAGAGAAAACCATAATTCAAAAAGACACATGCACCCAATGTTCACTGCAGCACTATTTACAATAGCCAGGTCATGGAAGCAACCTAAATGCCCATTGACAGACGAATGAATAAAGAATACATGTGGAACATGTATACAATGGAATATTACTCAGCCATAAAAAGGAACGAAACTGGGTCATTTGCAGAGACGTGGATGGACCTAGAGACTGCCATACAGAGTGAAGTAAGTCAGAAAGAGAAAAACAAATACCATATATTAACGCATATATGTGGAATCTAGAAAAATGGTAGATGAACCAGTCTGCAAGGCAGAAATAGAGACACAGATGTAGAGAACAAACGTATGGATACCAAGGGGGGAAAGCGGGGGCGTGGATAGTGTTGGTGGGATGAACTGGGAGATTGGTATTGACAATATATACACCAATATGTATAAAATAGATAACTAATGATCCTGCTTTATAAAAAAAAATAAATTCAAAAAAAACAGAAAGAAATAATAGCCGGTAGCTGCTGTAACTTGAAGAAAAACACAAATCTACAAATCCAAGAAGGTAAACAACTCCAAGTAGGATAAACCCCAAAACAACCATATTGAAACACATTATAACCAAACTGTCAAAAGCCAAGACAAAGTGAGAATCTCGAAAGCAGCAAGAGGAAAGTGACTCATCACAAGAAGACAGTCTCAATAAGACGATCAGCTGATTTCTCAGCAGAAACCTTGGAGGCCAGTAGGCACTGGGATAATTACTTAAGGGGCTAAAAGAAAAAAACCTGTCAACCCAGAATTCTATATCTGGCAGAACTGTCCTTCAAAAATGAGGAAGAAATGAAGACATTCCCAGATAAACAAAAGCAGAGAAAATTTATTACCACTAGATCTAGCCTACAAGAAATGATAAAGGGAGTCTTTTCAGGTTGAAGTGAAAGGAAGCTAGATGGCAACTTAAAGTCATAAAGGTACAAAGATCTCCAGTAAAGGAAAATACATAAGCACATATGAAAGAGAGTATTATTCCAATTTTGGCTTGAAATTCCACTTTTTATTTTCTACAGGATTTAAAAGACAAGTGCATAAAAATTACAAATCTGTGTTAATAGGCACACAATATATAAACTGTGACATCAAGAACAAAGTGGGGGACTTCCTTGGTGCCGCAGTAGTTAAGAATCCACCTGCCAATGCAGGGGGCATGGGTTTGAGCCCTGGTCTGGGAAGATCCCACATGCTGCGGAGCAACTAAGCCTGTGCGCCACAACTACTGAGCCTGCACTCTAGAGCCCTTGAGCCACAACTACTGAACCCGTGTGCCACAACTACTGAAGCCCGCGCACCTAGAGCCCATGCTCTGCAACGAGAAGCCACCGCAATGAGAAGACCACGCATTGCAATGAAGAGTAGCCCCCCGCTCACCGCAACCAGAGAAAGCCTGTGCCCAGCGACGAAAACCCAATGCAGCCAAAAAATAAAGAAATGTATTAAAAAAAATAAATAAATAAAAAGAAGGTGGGGTGGAAAAACAGAGCTGTAGAGGAGGTTGTGTATACAACTGAAATATAGGCTGGTATCAACTTAAAATAAACTGCTAGAACTTCAGGATGTTATAATGTAATTTCTACGGTAACTGTAAAAAAAGTTACCCATAGAATATCTGCAAAGGAAATGAGAAGTGGATCAAACATGGTGCCACAAAAAGAATCAAACACAAAGGCGGTAATGGAAAAAATGAGGGACAAAAAAGCTATAAGACATGCATAAGACAAAGTGGCAAAAGTATGTCCTTCTCTGTCAGTAATTATTTTAAATGTAAATGGATTAAACTCCCCAATCTAAAGGCACAGCTGGCAGAATGGATAAAAACACATGGTCCAACTATATTTTGTCCACAAAAACTCACTTACATTAGATACCAGGACATAGGTTGAAAGTGAAAGGATGGAAAAAGATATTCCATGCAGATAACCAAAAGGAAGCTGAGGTGGCTTTGGTAATATCAGACAAAAAAGACTTTAAGTCAAAAATGGTTCTAAGAGACAAAGGACATTATTAATAAATGGGTCAATTCACCAAGAAGATTTAACAATTATAAGCACATATGGACCAAACAATTGGAGTTCCAAAATATATGAAGAAAACACTGACAATTGAAGGGAGAAACAGACACTTCTACAATAATAGCTGGAGACTTCAATAACACACTTTGAATAATGGATAGAACAGCCAGACCAATAAGGAATTAAGGACTTGAACAACAACTGTTAACCAACTGGACCCAATAGACATAGAGAACATTCACCCAAAAACAGAACATATTTTTCTCAAGTGCAGATGGAACATTCTCCAGGATAGAATATATGTATGTTAGGCCACAAAACAAGTCAATGAATTTTAAAAGATCAAAATCATACAAAGTACCTTTTCCAATAACAGTGGAATGAAACTGGAAATCAACAACAGAAAGTAAACTGAAAGTGCAAATTAAACAATACGCTCTCAACCAAAGGGTCAAAGAAGAAATCACAAGGGAAATTTTAAGATACCCAGAGACAAATAAAAATGAAAACACAACATATGGAAAGGTATGGAATGCAGTAAAAGCAGTGCTAAGAGGGAAATTTATAGCTGTAAATGCCTGTGTTAAAAAAGAAGAAAGCTCTTAAATCAACAACCTAACTTTAGACCTGAAGGAACTAGAAAAAGAACAAATTAAACCCAAAGCTAGCAAAAGGAAAGAACTGATAGACTAGAGCAGAGATAAGAAAAATGGAGAATAGAAAAACAAATAGAGAAAATCAACAAAACCAAAAGTTGGTTCCTTGAAAAGATCAACAAAATTGTAAAAACTTTAGCTAGATTGACTAAGAAAAAAGAAAGACTCCAATTACTGAAATCAGAAATGGAAGTAGGGACATTACTATTGATTTTACAAAAATAAAAGGATTAGGGCTTCCCTGGTGGTGCAGTGGTTGAGAGTCCACCTGCCGATGCAGGGGACATGGGTTCATGCCCCGATCCGGGAAGATCCCACATGCTGCGGAGCGGCTAGGCCCGTGAGCCATGGCAGCTGAGCCTGCGCGTCCGGAGCCTGTGCTCTGCAACAGGAGAGGCCACAACAGTGAGAGGCCCGCGTACCGCAAAAAAAAATAAATAAATAAAATAAAAGGATTATAAGGAAGTGCCATGAGCAACTGTATGCCAACAAACTGGATAACTTAGATGATGTACAAATTCCTACCCACACAACCTACTAAGGCTGAATTATGAAGAAACAGAGAATCTGAATAGACCTATAATAGTCAGGATATTCAGTTAGTAATAAAAAACCTCCCAACAAAGAAAAGCTCAGGACCAGATGGCTTCACCTGTGAATTCTACCAAGCTCTTCAATACAATTAACACCAATCCTTCTCAAACACTTCCAAAAATTTGAAGAGAAGACTTCCTAACTCAAATCAATGAGGCCAGCATTTGCTCAGATACCAAAGCCTGACAAAGACACAAGAAAACTACAGACTGATATCCCTTATGAATACTGATACAAAAACCCTCAACAAAATACTAGCAAACAGAATTCAGTGGCATATTAAAGGATCATACACCATGACCAAGTGGGATTTTAGTCCTGCAATATAAGGATGATTCAGCATCTGAAATCAATTGATGTAATATACTACATTAAAAGAATGAAAGAAAAAAAACATGATCATCTAAAATGGTAATTCTGTTTTACCACAGTAAAACCAACAAAACCTCTGGTAAACTGCTTCCCAAAGCGACGATGATGTGACAAATCATCACTGTGTGATGAGCATTTTACACTGATGAGTAAATTTGTTGCTCCATATCTTCACAAACATTTTGTTGTCAGTCTTTGTAATTTTTAGCCATCCTAGTGGATGTGTAG